CAGTCCATTTTCTGGCATGCCGCAGACCTGCGCCAGTCCTCAGATTGAGGGTTGGTTGGGGATTCCTGATCTACCATTTTCTTTCTTCATCACTTTTGCTTCACAAGAGAGTGGAAAATAACAAGGCAATCACAGTTTATAAACAAGTTGCACCTATTTATGCCTCTTCTGCTAGAACTGGTGGTTGTGACTCTTCCATTAAAGCAAGGTTTCTCAACTTTGGCAATGTTAAGATACATGGACTTCAACTCCCAGAACTCCCCTTGAATTGGGGGAGTTGAAGTCCATGTGTCTCAATGTTGTCCAGATTGGGAAACTTTGCATTAAGGGCATGTAGATTCTAGAAGGGAATGTCCATTTTTGAGAATCTGGTTCGCTATTAAAGCATATGAGAAACATAAAAAAATTGAGAAGAAATATTTTGCTTGCAGGCTTTCTCTACTTCCCATTGTTTTATTCAGAAAGGAACGGGTTAAAAGACACAGCCTAGAATAAGAGGAACAAAGCTGTATCTTGCAATACAGCCATTTCTTCATCACCCGATTTGTGAAACATTATGAACAGAACATTATAGCTACTCTAACAAAACCCAAATAACTCACTATTTATTCTATGCAAATCAACAGGCCAATATATAACACATAATATACCTACAAAGAGGTAAATACATAATATGTATCCCCAGACTTGCTTCTCTGTCTTTCTCTTTTAGCCCTTTCAGGCTAGGTTACTCAATGTAGAATTAGAAATGTGGGTCTAAAATGATATAAAACTAAAAGAAACTACTTTTAATCATATTTGGTTTAGTCCAAAACTATTTTTTTTAAAAACCTGGTGTAATAGCTAATTTTGATTTCCTTTTATCTAATTTGGAATTTTCTTAAGAATTCTGAGAACTATCTATTTTTTTAGCTCAATGACCCTTTACTTAATTTAATCTCTCCTCTGAGAAAATAGTAATTTCCTTGAGTAAGTGGCAAGGATCTTTACTGGTGGCAAAAATATAAATAAAAAAAAACAAGGATATGAGATGAATGTTTATGAATAATTATGAAAAACACTAATACTAACAAAAGAAATTCGGCAGGATTTCAAAGATCTTTTTGGTCAATCTTCTTGATTTCACAAGTTGGGAATTGAAATGAGGCAAGAAAAAAGAGAAGTTAAAATTTCCAGAAGTTGCATTTTGGGCAACGTACAGGTAAAGTTACAGATGGAATGGAATGGCTGAAATCGAAAATGCACAACTTTGAGAAAGAATGTTGGGGAAAAAGTTAAATGAAACTCTTAGTCCAGTCATAGAGCTAGGAGAGGCCACCCAACTACTGCATAATATCCTTGTGTAAGCATCCTAGAAAAATACATTGTTGTTACTTACCTGACCTAAATTTGGAACATGAAATGGGCTTCTCCTGAAACTTTCTTCATGCCTTTGGGTCTAAAATACCTAGATGCTATTCTCAGGCCCCAGTGCTGCAACCATCCAACTAGTCAGTCAGTCAAACTGTCAATTAATTCAGCAAAAGTTTTCTTTGTGTAATGTATATTTGCAATGAAAAAGGAAAATATGAATTCAATATCCTTCAACCAACCTGTATCATACCATGTTTTAATTCATACTAAAATGAGGACCAAGCTTTGCTGGAGTTAAGTATGGAGTTAAGTAAAGTCCAAGTTATGCACACATGTAAAAACAGAGGAAGTTAATTTCATCGTTTTCAAAGATGATAAGTTTCTGCAGATATAGTACATTAATAAACAAATATTTCCATTACAATCAGAATCAGACCACTCAAAAAATATTCCAGAAAACTATGAATAGTTTGAGATATTTCAGATTAATCAGCCTTGTCAAATGAATCCAAAAACAATGAATACATGGATAAATAAATAAATAAATAAATAAATAAATAAATAGAATTAAAATAAAATAAAATTAAGGGCTGATGTATCCAACTTCACTGACGTGCTAAAATCTTTCATAGAAATTAATCTAACTGGATTTTTTTAAAAATATCCAAATGTCTCAGCAGTTCAACAACTTATGCCCAAAAGAATATAGGTAAGAATAACAGTGTACGTATCTTATACTTTTTTGTGCACATTAATATGACCTAACATATGAATTCACACATTAAATTGCATCTAGGAGGACAATCCAATTCAAAAGTATAATTTATATGAACCGATTTCTTCCAATTTCCCCCCTTATTAAATTTCCAAATCAAGGAATGGGGATTTTCCAAGATTTCTGCAGACACAAGTGCAAAAAATACTTTTATTTACCAAGATACCAAATTGCTACTGGCTATAAGTCCACTAGCTAGTTAACCAATTAACTAAACTGTAAATGTAACTAAATTGCATCAAGATTATGTTAATTTATTATGCCTTGTGTATAACACATACATGTGTTACAAGACTTTATCTTAAATTGACTACGAGGAAAGTTCTATAGTGGTATAGTATTTGCTGGGATAGGACCACATATTCATATATATGTCCCATACTACTCTTATGTACCCATGCAATGGGTGCATATCAGTCTATCTGTCCTTTGCCAGCAATCCCTGTGCCATTGAGATTGTTACAGACTGAAAGTTAGAGAGTTGTTGGTCAACAGCTAGCCATCATTAAGCCCTTATACTTCAGATACTGCTATTCTGGGGGCTGGGAGAAAGAGACCGACTTCTTGACTATGTCCCAAAGATGCTTTTTCAAAAGGCACCTGGACTTTGTTTTTCCTTGAAAGTGTTTCACTTCTCATCCAAGAAGCTTCTTCAGGTCTGAAAAAAGCACCTTTGGGACAACCATGACCTGGATGACTGAGAATCTCCATAGACATACTTCTT